TGAGATGAATGAAATTATGAAGAGTCTGAAATGACTGATTTACTTAACTACTTTTGAAATTGATCTTTAAAAAGGGTAAGTTTATTAAAATATTTTTAAAAGGGAAAATAACTGAAGCCCTGCTGGTATAACAGTTCTAAATAATGTTGCTGTAGTTATTCATTAAAAAGGAGTAGATAGTTAGCAGTGTTGGAATGTGTTCAATAATGCCACATTTTGCAATATTTGTTTTGGGTTTTTAATGGAAAATTCCCAGTTCCTGCAGTTCTTTTCAATCCATAAAACTGACTCAGAAGCGTTGTTTCTAGAGCTCATGGTTGTGTAGAAAAGCACATGGAAATGTGAATAAGAGTTCAAAATCAAGAAGACCAGTAAGAAGTATGTCAGAGGCAATATGTGCTGTGCATGTAAGTACAAGCAAGGCAGTTTTTACATCTGTATATGACATTAGTGTGACCAGCAGTGAGATGCTGTATCTGATTTGAGTGTTCTTATCTTCTTCAGCATTGAAAAATTATGCAGAAGGTGTTTAAAAGGGTTGGAGGGCTAGAAGAATACTTTGCATGGACAGACTGATCAGTGATTTGGGGGTTTGTGGGTTTCTTTTCAACTTGCCAGAATTTTTACAGTGATTATGTTAAACATGGTATAATAGATTTAGAATCTTAGAATCATGGAATCATTTGGGTTGGAAGAGACCTTTAAGATCATCAAGTCCAAATGTTCCCCCAGCACTGCCAGGTCCCCACTGCCCCATGTCCCTCACCCCACATCTCCACAGCTTGGAAACCCCTCCAGGGGTGGGGACTCCACCACTGCCCTGGGCAGCCTGGCACAGCCCTGGGCAACCCTCCAGGGCAAGAAATTGTTCCTCATGGACAACTGAAACCTCCCCTGGGGCCACCTGAGGCTGTTCCCTCCTGTCCCGTTGTTCCTTGTTCCCTCCTGGCCCGTTGTTCCTTGGGATCAGAGCCCGACCCCCCCCGGCTCCAGGCTCCTGTCAGGAGCTGTGCAGAGCCAGAAGGTCTCCCCTGAGCCTCCTTTGCTCCAGGCTCAGCACCCCCAGCTCCCTCAGCTGCTCCTCCCCACACTTGGGCTCTAGACCCTTCCCCAGCAGCTCCGTTGCCCTTCTCTGGCCACGCTCCAGCCCCTCAAGGTCCTTCTGGGAGGGAGGGGCCCAAACCTGACCCCAGGATTTGACGTGCAGCCTCCCCAGTGCTGAGTGCAGGTGGACAAATCCCAGCCCTAGTCTGCTGGCCACACTAGTGCTGATAATTGATGGTAAGTTTGCTGCTCTTAGATCACTTCCTGCAAGCCTTTTAGAAGCAGTCCACTGATTACCAGCACTCTGTAGCTGTAGGTCACCGAATGACTTACTCTTGGGCCAGAGTTTAGCCTTGTCCAGCAGCCCTTCCATCACTGTGGAACTGAAATCACCACACGTGCCCAGTGGATCTCCACTGCACCAAAGTGGGACAAACTGGAGACCAAGTCCCCTTCCCACACACAGCCCCACACCTCAGAAGTTGATCAGTTCTCCTGCATCTCAGAACGCTGCAGTTCACTACGTGTAATTCACGAGTCATTCACTAAGGGATACTGAGGGTTCACTAAAGGACTATGTGGAATTCACTAAAGGAGATTAATTTGGCCTGAGAACCCACATTTAGAAGCTCAGCCCTGATGTTTTAGACAAATTAGAAATCACACCTAAATTTTAAAGGGAATGACTGGCCATGGCCACAAACGGCTGCAGGAAGTGGCAAGTTCTGTGTGGCTTGGCATTTTTGAAGCCATCTGGGAAGTCATGCTTTTGTCAGATGTGTGTTTTTCGGTTCATGGGGCTAGAAGGACAAAAACTTGGGATTTCTAGGTCTGGGACAAATGGGAGATGAATTTAGATAATCTAAGGTATTGTAGTATTAGATGCTGAGGAGTCAGTAAAGTAGGAATTTTGAGTAAAGGCAATTCTGGGTGGACGTTCTGGTTCCTCAAGTTCTCCAGTTCAACAAAGTACCTGAGCACATGAAACTTGGTTTTGACAAATAAACAAACTGGGAAATGGTGACATGTAGAAGTGCAGGTAAGAAATGCCCCAAATGGGTTTATCTCTGAAGGAAAGGCAAGCTGACATATCTAGTGAAAACCATCTCAAGGCACGGTGTTTAGGAAGAGATTTTGTGCTTTGGACCCATGCTGCCCAGAGCTGACACGGGGGCTCTCGGGCTGTGCAGGAGTTGGGGATGTGAATCAGTAAGTCAGTGCAACACTTCTCATCTCCCAAAGCCTGGAGGGAAGGATGGAGCAGCCCTGCCTCCCCCACCCCAGAGGCCAAACCTAGAACACCCTGTCTGTGTCCAAACGCTCCTTGTCAAGCCCTGAACGTCTCCGTCTGAGGTGAGACTTCCAAATTGTAGTTGTTACAATTCCAGTCAGTTGCTAGTCTAATGCTGCATTGGCTGCTGTGCCCTCCTTTTAGTAGAATCATCTGGGTGCTTGTCTTTTAAAATTTAAGATGGCTTGTACGTTTTCAGTAATCAATTGTCCAGAGGACAGCACATTCCGTTGGAGTCCGTCTGTCTTCTCCTAGTCATTTTCTTGGATGGGACTCATCCCCTTGCGTTGACCTCCTGCTTTCTTCTCCCACATATGTACTGTTGAAACAATAAAAGGGGCTCAGTAGTCGCTTGATGAGGCCAAAGACAGGAGATTCTTCTCATTTCTGCTTTTTCCAGGCTGCAGATGCCAGTTTTGTGGATTCATGCATCCTGGATTTGTAGCACCAAGGCTGTACAGCTGCACTCACTGCAGCTCTGCTAAGCAAGGCAAGGTTCTTGGTGCTGTTCTTCAGTCCCAAGGCCACTTGGCCACATCCATACTACCAGGCACTCTTAGCCTTGAGACTGAGATAGCTGCATCCAGACAGAGTGTTTGTGGCTCCCTGCTCTGTGCAAAATCTTGAAGAAGCCTGCAGAGGGGTCAGGAGTGCACGGGTTGGTTGTGCTGGACCAAAACTGTGCCAAAGACTGTTACAGTGATGCAGAGTCACAAAATTACTTCGGTTAGAAAAGTCCTTTAAGATCATCAAGTCCAAATGTTCCCCCAGCACTGCCAGGTCCCCACTGCCCCGTGTCCCTCACACCACATCTCCACAGCTTGGAAACCCCTCCAGGGGTGGGGACTCCACCACTGCCCTGGGCAGCCTGGCACCGCCCTGGGCAACCCTCCAGGGCAAGAAATTGTTCCTCAACCTCCCCTGGGGCAGCTTGAGGCTGTTTCCTCTTGTCCTGTCCCGTGTTCCTTGAGAGAAGACCCCAACCCCCACCTGGTTCCAACCTCCTTTCACAGCGAGTTGGAGGGAGCACAATTATTTTCTGAGCTTCTTTTAATAGTGGTGCAGACAAGTATGTGTAGGTGCTACAGTGCCTCTTCCTGGGCACTATTTATTTATTTTGCTAGTATTGACATGGTGATACCCTCTGGCTCAAGGATGGACCTGTCCCCACTGCCTACCCAGGTCCATGTTGTGAGGTGCTGCTTGCCTAAAGAAATCCTTTTCTACACCCCAAAACCTATTGGCTTGGTTCACTTAACTGTGATTCATGTATCTGCAAAAAGACTAAATGGACCAATTGAAAAAGTTTCATCCCTCTGTGGCTGCTCTTGGGGGCTTCTCTGTGCCAGTGCAGAAATGGAAATGAGGAGCTTCAGAATTTGTGAAGACAAATAGACAGCCCTGTCCCTGGAAGGTCTAGCATAATCGTGACAGCCATCATCCCTCTCTTGGTTTTCACAGGGTCCTTGGAATTCTTATTTGATTTTTCTGGGGTTGCTGTTTGTCTGCTCTTGCTTGTAGGGATTGTACATTAGCTCTGTCATGTCTCCTGGAGTTAGAGTGATCTCTTCACCCTGCTTTCCTGCAGGAATTGTAATAAACCCTTGACTCATAAGAAGATTCACAAGAAGGATGGAAAATGCCTTGATCTCTTTGCCAAGTTCTGTCTGCCCTCCATCTGCCATCCCTTCTTCTCAAGAACTTGAGTTCTGAAGGAGGTGATCTTGTCATTTGTATTCGATTTGGATCTGTAGTGGGGAGGCTTAGGAGGGAAAAGAGATTAAGGGAGCATATTGTGATTTTTCGGTTCCATTTTTGGGCTTTGCAGCAAATACATGTTCATTGTTCTGGCACCTTGGGAAGTTTAGGAGTTAAAAATGCTTTCGACGAGCCACCATGATGATGGAGAAACCTGCCTTTGGAGGGGAAAAGGCTGTAGACTTACTTCTTTAAATGAAAGCTCAGTAGTAATTGGATGTGCTGCACTTTCCTTGTTAGGGCAGGCGATCTGTGACAACATTCAAGGTTCAAAAGTTACTCACTTCAGAAATGGGACTTCAGTCAAATCAACTTTGGTCCTACAGGCCACCAGAATTTCCGCTAGGTGTGTTTTTATCTTCTTTTTTTTCAAGGTAGCAAGAAAAGTTACAGCAACTTAAACTCCTCGTACTTCAGATTTGAGAGAGTTGAGGTTTATAAATCTTACACTGTAATGGATTCAAACTTCACCAGGAACGCTAAACCTCTGGCCTCAACCTAACTGTTTCAGGATCTGGGATTTCTGTCTGGTGGATACATAGCCATGGGAGAAATTTTGTCTGAAATCCAGTTGCAGCCTTAATTACTGAGCAACCACTGTCTCTCTGTAGACTAGTTTATCAAAAGCAAGGGGGTGCTAACTGCAGGTTTGTTGTAGGAGGTGTAGGGAGTGCTTGTAGAAGAGAGAAATGCTAGCTGAGGACTTCAAAGAAAAGACTAATGTTCACAGGAGCTTGTTTGCTGGGCATGTTTGGAGGTGGAAAGTTGGGCTGCCAGCTCTTGTCATGTGTGTGACTTAAAGTTTTGGACCCGAACTGATCTTGCCTTAATGTAAGCTCCTTTCCACGTACCACACGGAACTGTTGAACTGAAGTGTTCGCTTTTACCTTTTACCTTGTTCTAGTCTGCTGGAAACCATGTCTCACTACACAGACGAACCAAGATTTACCATAGAGCAGATAGACCTCCTCCAACGCCTGAGACGCACAGGAATGACCAGACATGAGATCCTCCACGCTCTGGAAACCTTGGATCGTCTTGACCAAGAGCATAGCGACAAATTCGGCAGAAGGTCTAGCTACGGAGGTGGTTCCTACAGCAACAGCACCAACAACGTCCCAGCATCTTCCTCTACGGCCACAGCTTCCACGCAGACCCAGCATTCTGGGATGTCCCCATCCCCGAGCAACAGTTACGACACCTCCCCCCAGCCTTGCACTACTAATCAGAACGGGAGGGAGAGTAACGAGAGGTTGTCCGCCTTCAACGGGAAGATGTCGCCCACCCGCTACCCGCTGGCCAACAGCTTGGCCCAGAGGTCGTACAGCTTTGAGGCTTCTGAAGAGGACTTGGACATCGACGACAAAGTGGAGGAGCTGATGAGGTTAGTAGAAGCCTTTGTAAAAAGTTTGGAAAGTCAGAGTGAGGAGAGCCTCAGAGGAACTCTGCGTGGTGGAGGGCTGCTGTGGTAGTGATGGGTGTTGTCAAGAGAGGAGGAGCTGCTTTAGGCAGCTCTTCCCCTGCACGTTCCCTAAAGGGCACTACCTCAGTACTTCTCACCTGCCTCTTAGTCTTGTGGAGACAGCCCCTGGCCATGTGTGGGCATCCCACAGCCTGCTTTGCTGCTGGAATGTTTTTTCCCATGCTGTACCAAAAATTGAAATTGATGTTAGCACACTAATTTTCCACCCTCCTCTTACTCAGAAGACCGAGTCTGGCTGAGTGGTGCTTCACATGACTCCCCCTCCACTACTTCATACCAGTTGTATTTCCTTCCATATATAGGAGGAGTAGGCAATCTGCTTGGTTCATGGTTTCCACTGGGATCTGCAGCTCACATACCTTATCTGCTTATAGTTTGTGGCAGGGGCTGACTCTCTGGGATTTGCACAGTCTGCAGATTGGCAGAGGAAAATACAAATAATAAAGAAGAAGCAGAAGTCTTCAGTGAGAGCCAGCTGGGGTTTTTTTTTCAGACTGACCTTCCTTTACTTTTAGCAGCTTTCTTTTCAGCATTATGGCAGAGATGAAAGGGGGGGGATTATACCACTGAGGATGAAAGTCAGAGTCAGTGGGTTTGATAACGAAAAGAAATAAGAGGAAAGGCCAAATGTCTCAAAAAGAGTTTTGGTCATAATGTTGGAATGCCTTTTTTCCCCAAAATGGCAACGTTTGTGAAGTACCTATGAGAGAACTAGTCCTTAAGCTCCAGGATGAAAATACATTTGCAATAGTTCAGAGATTCAGGGTAAAGGTGTGGCTTTTGGGGGAGAGGATTAGGGATGAGCAGTTAAGAACAATCCAGGTCATGTTGGGTGGGGCTCCAAGCAACCTGCTCTAGTTGCAGATGTCCCTGCAAAGTGCAGAGGGCTTGGACTAGATGAATTTTAAAGATCCCTTCCCACCCAAACTATTCTATTTGTCAATTCTAACTATTTATGATTAAGAAAAGCCAATCAAGCTCATTTACTGTTGGCTACAGGATAATGGGATAATGCAGGAGGTGGTGAGTGTAGCACTGTGCAGGAGCTCCCATTGCTGGAGTTTAAATGTTCCTCTTGAGTTTTGGGTTCCTGTGCAGTAAGTCTCAGGTAATGCTTTTAGTGCTTATTTAAACTGAAACTACTTTCATTTGCAGGCATATGGAAGAGGATTGTTGGATACATAAATAAAACCATAGCATTTGTTTTACATTTACAACTGCAAGCTTGAATCCTCCTTAAATGCTGCTGGGGCAGGAGGGGAGAGGGGGGAGGGAAATTACAAAATAATAAAGCTTAATAAAGTCTGATTTTAATTGTATACCCTTATCAGGAAGGGAGGCAGGAAGAGGAGGGAAGAGTATGTGTTTATTGCAGTTGAAATTTGCTGCATATCACAGTCTTTGTACAACCTCCAAATTCTTTTATCTTTAGCATGGTTTTAGTCCCTTCTGAAATATCTTTGCCCACCTTGTAGAAATCATACAGAGAGTTTAAATAATTAACACTTGCTCATTCAGTGCAAACTGTGGACTAAGAAAGTAGGGATAGGGGCCCCAAAATTGTTTCTTTTTTAGGTCTTTTCCTTTAAAAGTTGGAGAAGGTTGGTCTGTGTGCTTTCATTTGTTTAGCTAACCCAGCAAACCCTGCTCTCTAGCCTTTATTTTTTATTTTTGTGCCTCATTTTTATGACTGAGGTTTTTATGCTGGTAGGAGAGATTTATTCATCCCCATGTAATGAAACTTTGTACATCCCATATGGCAGTGCTGCACCTCATATGAATTATATAGGACATGAGTCATCCATTCTCCTGCTGGGGGACTTTGATCAAACGTGACACGTGTTAAAAGAAGTGTCCATTGGTAAAGCACTTGGGCTTTTTTAATGCTTCCCTTCCCCACTCCTTTTCCCCTAAATAAAGGAAATAAAGCCACTTTGCATCTTCAAAGCACGCTTTGGTCTGTCCATCTTTTTGTGTGTTCTCGTGGTTGTTTTGTTTTGTTTTGGTAGGAGGGACAGCAGTGTGATAAAGGAGGAAATCAAAGCCTTCCTAGCCAATCGGAGGATTTCCCAGGCAGTTGTTGCACAGGTAACAGGTAAGAGCTGGGGGATCCTTTCTTCATTTTGGGAAGCTGTCTAGCTGCCTGTCTGCAGGGTGCAGATGTGGGAATATTCGTTGGCTTTCTGCATTGCAGTGCAGATCTGTCAGCTTAGTCATGATAATGTATGCCTTTGATTTAAGACCCATTGTCCCGCACATCATGGAACTTCCCCAGTGAATCACTTCTTCTTTTTTTCTGTTTTTTTTTTTTCCTCTGGTTTGTGCTAGCAGATTAGATTTTACAGCATTATAATGGGCCTGAAGTTCTTATCTTACAACAAAAACGGTTTTCCTTAAATCTTAAATTGTTTGTTGAGTGCAGCAAATAGAAGTGTATCTGCATCTCTATGTATGGAGAGAGATATGATACATATTTATATTATAAAATATATATGAATAGTCAGGAGGCAGGGCTATAGCTGGCATCTCTACATCCAGGAGTCAGATTATGATACTTGGAAGCTTTTCAGTCACTTACATTTGAGTCACAATTAATGAAAATGAGATGTGAGGTTGATGGGATGACTGTATTAGCTCAGATTTTTACCTAGGAGAAGTAGTTCTCTTTTTGCCCTCTGCCCTGTGCCTTCTCTCTTTCACATTCAGGATAATGTGTGAACAGACTGCAGTGATATCACTTCTTCCTTACATGTGTTTCCAGAGCTTTACCCAGAGGAGTGAAGTCTCACTGCTCCTCCATGGGGTGAGGTGCTATTGGTTCTCTCTTGCAGGCTCACACTGCTTGTCCAGAACAGTGTAGCTGGTAGCATATTTAGAATCATTGAATCATTTGATTCTATCATTTGGATTAGAAAAGACCTTTAAGATCAAGTCCAACTGTTAGCCCAGCACTGCCAGGTCCACCACTAAACCATGGCACCATATCTCCATGGCTTTTCAGTCCCTCCTGGCATGGGGACCTCACCACTGCCCTGGGCAGCCTCTTCCAGGGCTTGGCAGCCTTTTCATGGGAGACATTTTTCCTAATATGCAGCCCAGACCTCCCCTCGTGCAACCTGAGGTCATTTTCTCTTGTCCTATCACTTGTTCCTTGGGAGAAGAGACCGACCCCCACATGGGTGTAGCCTCCTTTCTGGGACATCTTGAGAACAGGGAGGTCTCCCCTGAGCCTCCTTTTCTCCAGGCTAAACAACCCCAGGTCCCTCAGCTGCTCCTCAGAAGACCTGTGCTCTAGACCTTTCACCATCTTCATTGCCCTTTTTTGACCAAAGTTGCAGCACTTGAATGTCTTTGGATGAAATCTTGATGATAAAATACAAATAGCTCAATCCCATGTTATACCTATAACATTTATTCATTTTTCAACCCAAGCTTGAATAAGGATGTTTAAATAGATCATTTTTGAGGTTCCTTGATGCGTAGGAAGGCCAAACCAGCAGGAGAGAAGTTGTTCTTTTATGATATTTTCAGTATTTGAAATGTCATAAGAACCCATCTGTCTGGGAGATCTGGGCTTGCAGACGTGCTGGCAGTTGAGGTGGGCTGGCAGAAGGGAAGGCTTGAGCCATGGAGCCTTGAATTCTTTCCACGTCTCCAACTCTTCTCTGTGATCTTGGGCAAAATTACCTGTCCTTCCCTGGTTTCAATTTCATCTGTAAAAATCATGAGATTAGCATTTTGTGTAACTCTGAGGAATGTTATTAGCCTTATCAGATGTTAGCACTTGTGGTTCAAAGATTGAATTCTACATCTAGTTGCTTAAATTGTACCTGAACCTCTGAAGTTTTGGTAGTTACTGTGTCACTCACCTACTTTTGTGCAGTCTTTGCTAGAGTATGGTCCTGGAATAACCCACCTCTGGATACACCTCTGTGTAGCACCCTTCATGTCCACCAGCAAGTCAAACGAGCTTCCCTTTCAAGAGAAATAATGTAAAGAGGAAAAAAAGGCAGAAAAGGTCTTTCCAAATAGGTCATTGGTTTTCTTTGGTCAGTGGGACTACTGCACACAGGGCTGTTCAATCAGAGTCACCACACCACATCTTGGAGTCTGTATCAGTAAAAGGAACTGATCTAATTATAATGAGGTAGGTGCATGTCTTGATACCCCTGCAGACAGATTGTGCACAAGTCAAGACCAGGCTCTTCACACCTGATCATTTTACTCCTTCCATCCTGTACATGAAATCTCTTGGATTTCAGTTGTTAAGGCCATTAAGTTGGCCTTTGGGAGCTCTCATGATTGGCCAGACTGTTCCTCCTGTGAGTAAAGGACACCTCCTGCATAACATGAGGGGGGGGGAGCCAGAATGTACTCACACAATGATCAGAGAAAATATTAGCAGCTCTCTTCGAGCCTGTCAGCAGGACAGAGCAAAGGCTGAACTCATGGCACTGTTCTTGTCTTGTTTTCAAGCCAGATCAATGGGGACCAGGTAGATCTAAAGGTTAAATGGCTGTGTCCTTTTGCAGCTGACCCAGTAGCGTTTCCAGGGACCTTGCAAATCAGGAGAGGATGTGATGTGTTACACGTGGTGCTGTTTCTTGAGGGCAGAGATGGCTGCAAGGCTTGTTCTGCACTGTGCTGCACCACTGTCTTCTTCCCACTGCCCTTTGCAGCTGGACTGTGTCATCTTCCATACTATAGAATCATAGAAGCATTAAGGTTAGAAAAGATCTCCATGATCAACTCCAACTGTCAACCCAATGCTCCCATGACCACTAAACCATGTCCTGAAGTACCAAGTCTACACATTTTTAGAAGCCCTCCAGGGCTGGGGACTCCAGCACCTCCCTGGGCAGCCTGGGCCAAGGCCTCACCACTCTGCCAGGAGAGAAATTCTGCCTCAGATCCAATCAAAACCTCCCCTGGTGCAGCTTCAGCCCATTGCCTCTCATCCTATCACTAGATAACTTCCCTGCTCCTCTTGGCCACCCTACTTTTGATCCAGGCCAGGATGTATTTGGTGGTCGAGTCTACAGGAGATGAGTCATTTTAAATCTAACCCATAGCCTTGTGTAAGCAGATGTGTGGTACTTATGCACTGCTATTAAGTACCTAGTTAGGGCTTATCTGAAAGAAACAGGAAACCTCTAAGAGTTTGAAGGGTCCAGGTTAAAGAGTGTGCTCAGCACTAGTGGGCAGAAACATCAGTTTCAACTCTAAAGCACAGTATGGTGAGGAGTGACTGAAAAGAGCTCAGGACAGAGATCCAGAGCAGAAAGTACATGTCCTAGGGCTCTCACTTCCAGACTTGTCCAAGGTCTGATGAGTGCTAGCAGACTTGTGTATTCTTGAGGTGTCTCCAACTTCCCTTCCCATTCAGCTGTGAAACAGGCTCCCAAGGAAGGCCTGGAAACCACTTTTGGTTCATTAAAAGAGCAGTTGGTGTAGACAGAGGGAACACTTTGCAGAATGTATGATCCCAAATGGTCTCATCTCACTGTTTACAGTCTTAGCTTTAGTGGTAGAGCTGTTCTATAAATAATCTGGTAAATGAGGGAAAATAGATAAATAAAATCCAAAGGGTGGTCAGTAGCAGATGGCGTAGGGGAGGATGGTAAGAGTGGAATGGTACCTTTCCAGACTACTGTTCAGCCTCCAGTGGTCTGTGTCTCAGACCCCAGCTTATTGTATTGCACATTGAGGTGGAACCCTGTTCTGGGCAACATAAAGAGTCTCCAAAAGCATGTGGAATGGGGCAGTTGTACCAGAACAGATCAGCAAGCCCCAGAGGCTGGTGTGCTCACAGCCTCCCATCACTGTTCCTCAGCACACAGACGTAGGAAGCTGTTGCTGGAAGCAGTAGTGCAGGTGCTGGGTGTCTTTGCCTGCCCCATCCACTGGCTACCACCCTGCATCAAGTGGGAAGTCATTTGTTTAGCCCTTGAAATAAATGCAGCCTGGCCTGGCCTCAGCTTTTAGCATTCATCTCCTCTGCCCTGGGAAGAGAGGCAAAAAAGAAATGAAAAATTTATGGTTGGCTCAGTCCAGAAGGAGAGTTGTTTGGCTTGGCTACCCATGCCATCAACTGTCTCCTTTCAATCTCTACCAGTTTCTTTACTATAAAAAAATGTGTGTAATGGGAGGGGAGAATGGCATGGAGAGGGGAAGGGAGGAATAATGCATCTGAACAGGGGTTTTGGACCTTTAGCTGGGAACCTAAAGCTTTGCTTCCTTTTCTCAATTACAGCTGGGTCTGAGGTTGGCCAGATTGGACATACAAGTGATGAACTTTAGCTAAACCAATGTATTTGCATGCCTTCAAATTGCAGGTCTTGGCTTAGCTCATCAGAGTGTAATGGTTCCCAAGTGCCTGTGACTGTATTGTCCCCATTCTGTGTCTTCTCATGTTCTGGCCTTGCTGCAGGATCCTCTGCTGCTACTTCTGCCCCTTGAAACTTCCATTTTGTCTTATTTCACTCATTCTTCAAGCAGTTTAGGAATTCATTCAGAAACATCTTTCTGCTTTATTTTTTTCATCTTAATTCTAATATTAGCATAGATTTATAGACTACACGTTCCTATCCCCACCACAATCCTACAGAGCACACTGAGCAGCCCTGTATTTACACACTGGGACACTAAACTGCTTTTCCTTTTGTCTTTCCTGCTCAAAGGGCTGGGAAGTGATGGAGAGGGAGGATATGTGAGGGAGGAACATGCAGCTGAAGGTTAAAGTCAACTGTTGCAGCAGAACAATTTTTCAGGATCTCTTAGTCTGTATAAAATTACCAGAAACTTTAAAAGTCATTTAGATAATGACTCTGACAGGGAAAATTAAACCTGGAAGACATTCCACAGTACTGAGAGTAAAGGGCAGATTGGAAAATAGTGACAGGGTATTAAATGACTTGAAAATAAAGGAATGATTGATAAGAAGCAAAAACCCAGCATAACACTTACTAGTGCTGGTCCTAAATGCAGGAGCTGCTTTTTATAGAAACTTTTTTAATGGTGTCTGTAATAAGATAAACAAGAAGCACTTGGGTTGGGCTCTGTATAAATAATCTCCTGCTGATAAGAAAAATGACA